AGCCATCATAGCTCAGTGGTTAGAGCATTGGTCTCGTAAACCAGGGGTCGTGAGTTCGACTCTCACTGATGGCTTGGAATACTGTTTAACGATTTTATTTGTTTGTATTTTTGTTGTTACGCGTAGATGGAAAGGTATGGCGGCTTTAATCAACAAGCCATCATAGCTCAGTGGTTAGAGCATTGGTCTCGTAAACCAGGGGTCGTGAGTTCGACTCTCACTGATGGCTTGTGTTTTGGCTGGAATACTGTTTAACGATTTTATTTGTTTGTATTTTTGTTGTTACGCGTAGATGGAAAGGTATGGCGGCTTTAAACAACAAGCCATCATAGCTCAGTGGTTAGAGCATTGGTCTCGTAAACCAGGGGTCGTGAGTTCGACTCTCACTGATGGCTTGTGTTTTGGCTGGAATACTGTTTAACGATTTTATTTGTTTGTATTTTTGTTGTTACGCGTAGATGGAAAGGTATGGCGGCTTTAATCAACAAGCCATCATAGCTCAGTGGTTAGAGCATTGGTCTCGTAAACCAGGGGTCGTGAGTTCGACTCTCACTGATGGCTTGTGTTTTGGCTGGAATACTGTTTAACGATTTTATTTGTTTGTATTTTTGTTGTTACGCGTAGATGGAAAGGTATGGCGGCTTTACTCAAGCAAGCCATCATAGCTCAGTGGTTTTAGAGCAGATTGGTCTCGTAAACCAGGGGTCGTGAGTTCGACTCTCACTGATGGCTTGTGTTTTGGCTGGAATACTGTTTAACGATTTTATTTTTTTTTGAGTTTTTTGTTGTTACGCGTAGATGGAAAGGTATGGCGGCTTTTAAAACAAGCCATCATAGCTCAGTGGTTAGAGCATTGGTCTCGTAAACCAGGGGTCGTGAGTTCGACTCTCACTGATGGCTTGTGTTTTGGCTGGAATACTGTTTAACGATTTTATTTGTTTGTATTTTTGTTGTTACGCGTAGATGGAAAGGTATGGCGGCTTTACTCAACAAGCCATCATAGCTCAGTGGTTAGAGCATTGGTCTCGTAAACCAGGGGTCGTGAGTTCGACTCTCACTGATGGCTTGTGTTTTGGCTGGAATACTGTTTAACGATTTTATTTGTTTGTATTTTTGTTGTTACGCGTAGATGGAAAGGTATGGCGGCTTTTAATCAACAAGCCATCATAGCTCAGTGGTTAGAGCATTGGTCTCGTAAACCAGGGGTCGTGAGTTCGACTCTCACTGATGGCTTGTGTTTTGGCTGGAATACTGTTTAACGATTTTATTTGTTTGTATTTTTGTTGTTACGCGTAGATGGAAAGGTATGGCGGCTTTACTCAACAAGCCATCATAGCTCAGTGGTTAGAGCATTGGTCTCGTAAACCAGGGGTCGTGAGTTCGACTCTCACTGATGGCTTGTGTTTTGGCTGGAATACTGTTTAACGATTTTATTTTTTTTTATTTTTGTTGTTACGCGTAGATGGAAAGGTATGGCGGCTTTAACAACAAGCCATCATAGCTCAGTGGTTAGAGCATTGGTCTCGTAAACCAGGGGTCGTGAGTTCGACTCTCACTGATGGCTTGTGTTTTGGCTGGAATACTGTTTAACGATTTTATTTGTTTGTATTTTTGTTGTTACGCGTAGATGGAAAGGTATGGCGGCTTTCAACAACAAGCCATCATAGCTCAGTGGTTAGAGCATTGGTCTCGTAAACCAGGGGTCGTGAGTTCGACTCTCACTGATGGCTTGTGTTTTGGCTGGAATACTGTTTAACGATTTTATTTGTTTGTATTTTTGTTGTTACGCGTAGATGGAAAGGTATGGCGGCTTTACTCAACAAGCCATCATAGCTCAGTGGTTAGAGCATTGGTCTCGTAAACCAGGGGTCGTGAGTTCGACTCTCACTGATGGCTTGTGTTTTGGCTGGAATACTGTTTAACGATTTTTTATTTGTTTTTGTTTTTTTGTTGTTACGCGTAGATGGAAAGGTATGGCGGCTTTAACTCAACAAGCCATCATAGCTCAGTGGTTAGAGCATTGGTCTCGTAAACCAGGGGTCGTGAGTTCGACTCTCACTGATGGCTTGTGTTTTGGCTGGAATACTGTTTAACGATTTTATTTTTTGTATTTTTGTTGTTACGCGTAGATGGAAAGGTATGGCGGCTTTACTCAACAAGCCATCATAGCTCAGTGGTTAGAGCATTGGTCTCGTAAACCAGGGGTCGTGAGTTCGACTCTCACTGATGGCTTGTGTTTTGGCTGGAATACTGTTTAACGATTTTATTTGTTTTTTATTTTTTGTTGTTACGCGTAGATGGAAAGGTATGGCGGCTTTAATCAACAAGCCATCATAGCTCAGTGGTTAGAGCATTGGTCTCGTAAACCAGGGGTCGTGAGTTCGACTCTCACTGATGGCTTGTGTTTTGGCTGGAATACTGTTTAACGATTTTATTTTTTTTTATTTTTGTTGTTACGCGTAGATGGAAAGGTATGGCGGCTTTTTTATTTTTTGTATTTTTGTTGTTACGCGTATCAAAAGCCATCATAGCTCAGTGGTTAGAGCATTGGTCTCGTAAACCAGGGGTCGTGAGTTCGACTCTCACTGATGGCTTGTGTTTTGGCTGGAATACTGTTTAACGATTTTATTTGTTTGTATTTTTGTTGTTACGCGTAGATGGAAAGGTATGGCGGCTTTAATCAAACAAGCCATCATAGCTCAGTGGTTAGAGCATTGGTCTCGTAAACCAGGGGTCGTGAGTTCGACTCTCACTGATGGCTTGTGTTTTGGCTGGAATACTGTTTAACGATTTTTTATTTGTTTGTATTTTTGTTGTTACGCGTAGATGGAAAGGTATGGCGGCTTTACTCAACAAGCCATCATAGCTCAGTGGTTAGAGCACTGGTCTCGTAAACCAGGGGTCGTGAGTTCGACTCTCACGGATGGATTATGTTTTGGCTGGAATACGTTTTAAGGATTTTATTTGTTTTTTTTTTTTGTTGTTACGCGTAGATGGTAAGGTATGGCGGGTTTACTCAACAAGCCATCATAGCTCAGTGGTTAGAGCACTGGTCTCGTAAACCAGGGGTCGTGAGTTCGACTCTCACTGATGGCTTGTGTTTTGGCTGGAATACTGTTTAACGATTTTATTTGTTTTGTATTTTTTGTTGTTACGCGTAGATGGAAAGGTATGGCGGCTTTAATCAACAAGCCATCATAGCTCAGTGGTTAGAGCATTGGTCTCGTAAACCAGGGGTCGTGAGTTCGACTCTCACTGATGGCTTGTGTTTTGGCTGGAATACTGTTTAACGATTTTATTTGTTTTTATTTTTTGTTACGCATAGATGGAAAGGTATGGCGGCTTTAATCAACAAGCCATCATAGCTCAGTGGTTAGAGCATTGGTCTCGTAAACCAGGGGTCGTGAGTTCGACTCTCACTGATGGCTTGTGTTTTGGCTGGAATACTGTTTAACGATTTTATTTATTTTTATTTTTGTTGTTACGCGTAGATGGAAAGGTATGGCGGCTTTAATCAACAAGCCATCATAGCTCAGTGGTTAGAGCATTGGTCTCGTAAACCAGGGGTCGTGAGTTCGACTCTCACTGATGGCTTGTGTTTTGGCTGGAATACTGTTTAACGATTTTATTTGTTTGTATTTTTGTTGTTACGCGTAGATGGAAAGGTATGGCGGCTTTAATCAACAAGCCATCATAGCTCAGTGGTTAGAGCATTGGTCTCGTAAACCAGGGGTCGTGAGTTCGACTCTCACTGATGGCTTGTGTTTTGGCTGGAATACTGTTTAACGATTTTATTTGTTTTATTTTTGTTGTTACGCGTAGATGGAAAGGTATGGCGGCTTTAATCAACAAGCCATCATAGCTCAGTGGTTAGAGCATTGGTCTCGTAAACCAGGGGTCGTGAGTTCGACTCTCACTGATGGCTTGTGTTTTGGCTGGAATACTGTTTAACTATTTTATTTTTTTGTATTTTAGTTGTTACGCGTAGATGGAAAGGTATGGCGGCTTTAATCAACAAGCCATCATAGCTCAGTGGTTAGAGCATTGGTCTCGTAAACCAGGGGTCGTGAGTTCGACTCTCACTGATGGCTTGTGTTTTGGCTGGAATACTGTTTAACGATTTTATTTGTTTGTATTTTTGTTGTTACGCGTAGATGGAAAGGTATGGCGGCTTTAATCAACAAGCCATCATAGCTCAGTGGTTAGAGCATTGGTCTCGTAAACCAGGGGTCGTGAGTTCGACTCTCACTGATGGCTTGTGTTTTGGCTGGAATACTGTTTAACGATTTTATTTGTTTTTATTTTTGTTGTTACGCGTAGATGGAAAGGTATGGCGGCTTTAATCAACAAGCCATCATAGCTCAGTGGTTAGAGCATTGGTCTCGTAAACCAGGGGTCGTGAGTTCGACTCTCACTGATGGCTTGTGTTTTGGCTGGAATACTGTTTAACGATTTTATTTGTTTGTATTTTTGTTGTTACGCGTAGATGGAAAGGTATGGCGGCTTTACTCAACAAGCCATCATAGCTCAGTGGTTAGAGCATTGGTCTCGTAAACCAGGGGTCGTGAGTTCGACTCTCACTGATGGCTTGTGTTTTGGCTGGAATACTGTTTAACGATTTTATTTGTTTGTATTTTTGTTGTTACGCGTAGATGGAAAGGTATGGCGGCTTTACTCAACAAGCCATCATAGCTCAGTGGTTAGAGCATTGGTCTCGTAAACCAGGGGTCGTGAGTTCGACTCTCACTGATGGCTTGTGTTTTGGCTGGAATACTGTTTAACGATTTTATTTGTTTGGAAAGGTATTTTTTTTTTTTTTTGTTGTTACGCGATAGATGGAAAGGTATGGCGGGCTTTAACGATTTTATTTGTTTTTATTTTTGTTGTTACAACAAGCCATCATAGCTCAGTGGTTAGAGCATTGGTCTCGTAAACCAGGGGTCGTGAGTTCGACTCTCACTGATGGCTTGTGTTTTGGCTGGAATACTGTTTAACGATTTTATTTGTTTGTATTTTTGTTGTTACGCGTAGATGGAAAGGTATGGCGGCTTTAATCAACAAGCCATCATAGCTCAGTGGTTAGAGCATTGGTCTCGTAAACCAGGGGTCGTGAGTTCGACTCTCACTGATGGCTTGTGTTTTGGCTGGAATACTGTTTAACGATTTTATTTGTTTTTATTTTTGTTGTTACGCGTAGATGGAAAGGTATGGCGGCTTTAATCAACAAGCCATCATAGCTCAGTGGTTAGAGCATTGGTCTCGTAAACCAGGGGTCGTGAGTTCGACTCTCACTGATGGCTTGTGTTTTGGCTGGAATACTGTTTAACGATTTTATTTGTTTGTATTTTTGTTGTTACGCGTAGATGGAAAGGTATGGCGGCTTTAATCAACAAGCCATCATAGCTCAGTGGTTAGAGCATTGGTCTCGTAAACCAGGGGTCGTGAGTTCGACTCTCACTGATGGCTTGTGTTTTGGCTGGAATACTGTTTATCAACAAGCCATCATAGCTCAGTGGTTAGAGCATTGGTCTCGTAAACCAGGGGTCGTGAGTTCGACTCTCACTGATGGCTTGTGTTTTGGCTGGAATTTGTTTAACGATTTTATTTGTTTGTATTTTTGTTGTTACGCGTAGATGGAAAGGTATGGCGGCTTTAATCAACAAGCCATCATAGCTCAGTGGTTAGAGCATTGGTCTCGTAAACCAGGGGTCGTGAGTTCGACTCTCACTGAT